AGAAGCTCTCGATTCTAAGAGGCAGAGATAGGGAGGGAGAACATTCCAGGCCTGGCAGAACCGTGCAAGGTACTGAGGTGTGAGATGGGAATGTTGAGTACAGGGAAACAGCAAGCAGGCCAGTTTGACTGCTATGTAGAGTATGTGAAGGGGAATCATGTGCAAATCTGGAAAGTCAGGGTAGCATCATACTGAAGATCTAGGAGACTGTGGATTGGAGAGGACAGAGTCAGGGAGGCCGATTGGGAGTACTGCAGGAGTTTGGACATGAGGCTATAAAGGTGGTTCTAGGCTAGGCTAGGGTGGTTGTAGTGGAGGTGGAGAGAAGGGGACAGATAGAGATATCGAGGCTGTAGAATGGACAAGTCTTGACCCTATAATTGATTTGTTATAGGGAAGGATGAAGCTCCAAGGTTGCTGACTTGAGAGATGGGAAGGATGGTAGTGCCCTCAATAGAAATAGGGACATTAGGGGAAATGAGTAGGCTTTGGAAGAAAAGAATGAAATCTGTATTGGACATGTTGAGTTTGAGATGCCTACAGGCCATGCAATTGAACATGTACCGAGGTTGCTGGTGGTGTGGGCCTGGAGCGCAGAACAACCAGAGCTGGATATACATATTTGCTGAGAGAAGATATTAATCTCATAAAGAGGTAGTGAGATCACCAAGACAGAGGGTGTAGAGAAGAGAAGAGCCTCAGGTGAGAGCCTGTGGCAACATGAGGTATAAGGGGTGGTAGGGTGGTGAGGTTGATGATGATATAGCCAAGGAGGCAAAGAAGAAGCCCACACAGATAGGTGAAGGTAGTGTCAAGAAAGCTGTGTCAGAAAAGTTCAGAAAGGAGAGAAAGGATCTAGGAGGGGAGGATGGCTAATGGTGTCTAAACTTGCAGAGAGGCTGTTGTCATCCTCCCTATGCTGGCGAAGAAACGATCAAAAGAGGCCACGTGCCCAGTGGTCCTCTCTACCCAGGAAGTCCACCTGGGAATTCACCATTGTGGTACTGTGGCTCAGTGAGGCCACTGCCACAGGGAATCTATGGGCCACCTGGAGTACTGTGGGTGCCTCCTTTAGACCTTAGACCTGTGACTACACTGGGGAAGGCAGCCCAAGCCACTGATACCTACAGGAAACTAAGTGCTTGCCCTGTCCCTTTTGGTGTAACTAGGTGCCAGATCCTCATATCCCTGAAGCCGGGAATCCAGGTTGGATGAACTCACTGGGTTTAATATAATCCCCAACCTTTGCTGTCCCCTTAAGACAGTACCATGGTTATCTATTTTTGACCTGTCTCTTCTGTTAAACAGTGAGCTCCCAGAACCTGAAGCCATTACTTGAGGGGCTCTCCAAAGACAGGGGCAGATGCTCTCTCTCTTTTTTTTTTTTTTTAGGCAACAGGTTAAGTGACTTGCCCAGGATCACACAGTTAGTGAGTGTTATGTGTCTGAGGCCAGATTTGAACTCAGGTCCTCCTGAATCCAAGTCCGATGCTCTATGCACTGCCCCACCTAGCTGCCCCAAAGATGTTCTCCTCCCCCAGGGTGGATATCTGGCAAAAGCCAGGTCAGGCTGACAATTCATTCCCAGTTTCAGTATTCGAATATCTGCACAATAAGAGACAAGGGGTCAGTTAGGTGTCTTGACCTATGCCCCACCCCAAAATCCATCTCCTTTTGATTCTCCTCCTGCCTCTACCTCTATATAACTCAGGTTGCTACAGGTAGTATCAGAACCAGGACTTGAACCCAGAACCTCTGACTCCAAATCTGGAGCACTTTTGACTACCTCATATTGCTTTCCCCATCTGAGCTGAGGGTCAGGAGACCTGTGGGGAGTGAAAAGAGCATGGAATTTGCAGTTAAGAGACCTGGGTTTAAGGCTCAGCTCTGCCATTTTACGAGCTGTGTGACTTTGGGCAGGTCACTTCACCTTCCTCACAGAATCTCATGTGGAAGAAGCCAGCTAGTCTGACCTGTTGTTTGTCCTTCATTTTCAGAAAGGACGGTGACGTCTTGAGTGATGTCTTGACTTGCTCATGAATCGGATTTAAGTGAGGCAGAGTCACACAGAATCATCAGCCTCATTCTCTCTTTGTGAGTCATCGAAGTCCAGTGGCAGCATAGAAGTCCCGATGACTGGTGGACGACCTTGGCATCTTCAATGTCTGGCCAAGCTCTAAGTGCTCCACAGCATGCCTGCTTCAGATGCCTTCATGGCCATTGGAACAAATTGTTCTCTTCGGCCCATTCCACCGGGGAAGTCTTCATAAGCTTGGGGTAGTCCTCCTAACTCACTGACAGATCTGGGGCCTGTCAGTTATTCTCATCCTGGTTTATCCTGTCTGCCAAGACAGCTTTACCAAGGTGTGACCACTGCTCATGCTACAGCTTCTTGGAGCAACAGGTGAGAGTTGGGTGGACAGCAAAGGTGGATGAGCAGCCCTGAAAAGGGCTTGGCACAGCTCTTTTTGTGGTGACAAAGAATTGGAAACTGAGAGGATGCCCATCCATTGGGGAATGGCTGAACAAGTTGTGGCATATGAATGTAATGGAATACTATTGTGCTATAAGAAATGACGAACAGGGGGCAGCTAGGTGGCAAAGTGGATAGAGCACTGGCCCTGAAGTCAGGAGCACCTGAGTTCAAATCCAGCCTCAGACCAAACTTGACATTTACGAGCTGTGTGACCCTGGGCAAGTCACTTAACCCCAATTGCCAAATAAATAAATAAACAAACAAGTAAATAAATGAATAAATAAATAAATGATGAACAGACTGGCTTCGGAAAAACCTGGAAAGACTTGTATGGTCTGCTGCTGAGTGAAGTGAGCAGAACCAAAAGAACATTGTACACAATAACAAACACGCTGTGTGATGACTAATACTGATAAACTTGACCCTTCCCAGCAATACAAGGATCTAAGACATCTCCAAAGGCCTCATGATGAAAAATGCTATCCACATCCAAAGAAAGAACTATGGAGTTTGAATGCAGATCAAAGCATACTATTTGCTCTTTTTTTTTCTCCTGTTGAGTTTTTCCTCTTTCTGGTGGTTCCTCCTATTGGTTCTAATTCTTACTTACAACATCACTAATGTGAAAATATGTTCAATAGGAATGTATATGTGAAGCCTATACCAGATTATGCCATCTTGGGGAGGGGGGTGGGGAGGAAGGGGGAGAAAAATTTTCAACTCAAAGCTTATGGAAGTGATTGTTGATAAATCAAAATAAATTAATTTAAAAAAAGAAAAGGGCTTGGCAAGACACACCAGAGGTGCTGAAGTCCTCCCTGAGTGCTCTATATACAGATAGGGAAAGAAGAAGGGAAAGAATTAAAGAAGGAATTATTAAGCACCTAATATGTGCCAGGCACCTAACAAATATTTCATTTGATCCTCACAACTCTAGTGCTATTTTTCAGTTGAGGACACTGATGTTATGTGATTTGCCCAGGGTCAAACAGCTAAGTGTCTGAGGCTGGATTCGAACTTGGGTCTTCCTGACTCCGGGCCCAGTGTTCTATCCACTAAGCTACCTACAGGATCACACAATCACAGAATCTTGGTGGCCCTCGGTGGCCATCTGGCCCAACTCATAGCTGAACAATCTCTCCTACAGTACGACTAAGGAGTGGCCATCCAGGCTTTGGTTAAAGATCTCGCCGCTTCCTGAGGGACTCCATTCTGCTTTGCGGTAGTTCTGTTAGGAAGTTCTTTCCGACATCTACTTCTTCAACTTCCAAACTAGTTCTGCTGTTTGGGATTGAGCGTGAGAGTCTGGACATGCCTGTCCCTCTAAGATACTTTTCTGAACTGAATAGAGAAGAGACCCAAGCCGTGGGACTCCTGCCCTCACCTCCTTTCCTTGCCTCCTGTCCAGATACTCATCCTCTTCCCTATGACCTTGGTGGGTGGAGACATTCTGTTCTATTCTTGTCTGTCTTGCACTCTGCCCGGTGGCCTGGCCTCGAGAGAAGGATGAAGGCTGGGGGAGGAAGGCCGACTTGTAACTCCCCAAAACCCAAGCCCACTGACCAGAAACAGGATAGAGGTTTCTAAAGGAAGAGAGTCTCTAGTACAAGTGAGAGGTCCCTCTCTTCTCTTATAGGCCCGCCATGCACCCCCAAGGCTAGACATTCTATTCCAAGTCAGCCCTACAGACTAAGGCTCAGAACTCAGCATAGGTGGCCCATTTTCCTGGCTCCCCAGAAGTTCTGAGATGCCCAGCCCTTAGTGCCTCCTTTAAAAATGGATCAGTGCCAACTCTTCATCCCTGAGGGCAAGGTGTTCCAGTAAAAGTCAAAGACCTAGGACAGGGTAGAGGATCCCTCTTTCCTTTCTCCTCTTTTGGCCAAGAGAAAGGCTGGAGCCTAGTGAGAAAGGGTGCCAACGGGGAAGGGGGCAGGACTGAAAGGAGCCAACTGCCTGGAAACATACAGGATAGTATGACCTCACCTGTCATGTCCCCTGCTCCTATCTCAAGTTGAGACCTCCTGGGAAATCTGCCAACTTCTAGCCCTCTGGGTATTGTGTCAGGGTGTGTTCTGGGCACAGAGGCCCAGGAAGCTCTGGGATGGGGTTGGTAGGAAACAGGAAAATGACCAGAGCTGTTTGTGATCTCTGCCTACCAAGGGAAGTAGTTTTTAAGGGCGTGGCCAGGTCATTTCTTTGCTTCCTCGGATCCGTCTGTTTTGAGAAGATCAAGGACTGAAGATTTTTCACAGAATGAAAGGAACAGAGCTGAAAGGAACCTGAGAGGCCATGTTGTCCAGCTCTGACCTAAAGCAGGATCTCCTCTACAAACATCACTCACCAGTGGTCACCTCACATCTCTCTGTGGACTTGCAGTGGTGAAGAGTTCACTAACTAGCAGAACATCCCATCCCATTGTTGGATGGCTTAACTGTTAGAAAATTCTTCCATATGTTGATCTTTCCCCAACCAGACTTCTACGTACTCATCTCAGCTCTGCCCAATAGGTTCCAGAGAGGTCTTATGGACAAAAGCAAGTCAGGCCATTTGCTAGGATTCCTGAGCTAGAGCTACCATACCAATAGAACCTGATTTTCTGAGGTCAGGCCACAGGACCAGATGCCCAAAGAATCAAGCCACAGATGCTCCCCACCCATCACCTCCACTCTCGGTAAGGACAAAAAACCTAACAAAGCAAAGTATCCTCTCACAAGCAACCCACACAATTCTACTGGGGATGACCACTAGTCATCTAGGCCTAATTGAGCATTTGCTGCATGTCCAGCCATGCCTTAGGGACCTGTAGGAAGACAGAAAAGGTAGAAGCAACAGTCCCTACCTTTAGGGAGTTTAGACAAGACAGAGACTCCTAAATTGTCTGTGCTGGAAGAGGCCTTAGAACCCAAATATTAAATCTTATGGTTTGGTTTTGGGGTTTTTTTTGGCTAGGCAATGGAGTTAAGTGATTTGCCCATGGTCACACAGCTAGTAAGTGTTATGTGTCTGAGACTGGAGTTAAACTCAGGTCCTCCTGACTCCAGGGCTGGTGCTCTATCCACCTAGCTGCCCCCCAAATATTAGATCTTAGAAGGGGCCCTAGAACATGCTGTAGTATGTCAAAGTTGGGAAGGGCCTTAGAATATAGACTGCTGAAGCTAGAACAGGCCTTAGAGCTGGGTAGTGCCTAAGAACATAGAATATGAGAGCTGGGAAGTTCCTTAGAAGACAGAAAGTCTCTAACCTTAGAAGGGTCTTTAGAATTTAGGATATTGGAGCTGGGAAGGGCCTTGTTATAAGGCTAGAATGTCAGAGCTGTGAGGGGACTTAGACAGAATTTCAGAACTGAGAGGGCCCTTAGAACAGAGAATGTCAGAGCTAACAAGATTCTTAGAACACAGAATGCCAGAGGAGGGAAGGGCCTTAGAACATAGACTGTCAGGGCTGAGAGGACTCATAGAACACAATGTCAGAGCTGGGAGGGGCCTTAGGACACAGAATGTCAGAGCTGGGAAGGCCTTTAGAACAGAATGTCAGGGTTTAAAGGGCCCCTAGAGATCAAGTCCAATTCTCTCAAGGGGAAACTGAGGCCTGGAGAAGGCAGGGGACTTGCCCAAGGTCTCAAAATGAGTTGACAACCTAGCCAGAACTAGATCTCCTGATCTCTTGTCTGGTGGTTGTACTACTCGACCTTCAATCTCTTTGAACCAAAATTAATGCCAGGCAGGCAGTCCGGTGAGAGACACAGACAGTAAGCCTTGCTGCAGGCCTGCAGAGAATGGAGAAACCCTGAAACACGTGAGAAGGATTAAATAGAGAGGGGGGAGGAGGACCCTCTGAGGAAGGGTTTAGGGCCAGAAATGGGCATGGGCACAGGGCACAGCCAACTGGAAGGATCCCAACGAGTGGTAAGTATGAGAGGACGTAGAATCCTCAAACCATAAAACTCGAGCTGGAAGGCACCTTCCCAGCCATCTACCCCAAGCCTCTCCTTTTACAGGTGAGGAAACTGAGGCCCAGGGAGATTTAAGGTCACTCAAGTCATAAGTGCTTGAGAGTACACTTGAACCTGGGTCTTCTGACACTTTGCCCCACATCATGTGAATTGTTTCCTGCCCTGTGTGATGCTGAGCATGCTCTGAGTCCAGAGCCCCGAGCTCGAAGGCCTCCAAAGGGAAGAGAAGACATGGCCCCTGCTAAATGGAGGGAGCCCCAGGCTGAGGTGGGGAAGGGGGATTCTCTGAAGCCAGGACTATTCCTCCCTTCCTGTCCTTTTGGGGTATCTCCCCTGGCCACTTCCCCTGTCTGAATTTTACTTTTGGCTTTTGATCTAAGGAGTTCAGAAAACCCCCCACAAGTCTGCATCCGTTGGGGGTGGAAAGCTACAACAAGGTGCTTTTAAAACTGGGAGATAAAAAAACAACTACCAAGGCCCAAAGAACTTCCATGGACCTTGTGAACAGACCGTCACCCACCAGCCCACGGGAGCATCAGCCAGGCTTGGGGGAAGGTAGCGACCACACCAGTGGGGGAGGGGAGGGACAGCTCCCCCCTGGACAAGGCTCCAGCCCACCTCCTGGGGCTGATCTCCCGATGCTGCTCAGGAGATGCCCTCAGCATCTCTGTCGCAGCATCACTCGCCGCTTCATTCCTTTACTGTCTCCTTGATCCCCTCTCCCTCTCTAAATGTCCCCATGCTCTGTCTCTCTATCTCCTTTAGGCAGCCTGACCTGATCACCTAGGTGCATGGTGGTCTCACTGTCCTCTGAGTTCCCAGGGCACTGTTTGGTCAGCTAGCACCGTTCTCTGTTTCCTGTGCGTGTCAGCCTCACAAGCCAAACTGAAACAGAAGATAAAGTCTGTACAGGCACAGAATGTCAGAGCTGGGGTGGGGAGGGGGCTTTAGAACACACAATATCACAGTTAGGACGGTCTTTAGAACAGAGACTATCAGAGCTGGGAGGGTTTTTAAAACACAGAATGTCAGAACTGAGAAGGTCAGAGCTGAGAGAGCTCTTAGAACAGAGAATGTCGGAGCTGGGAGAGGCCTCAGAGCTAAGAATGTTAGAGTTGGGAGGGGTCTCAGAGATTGCTTAGTCCAAAACTTTCATTTTCCAGAGCAAGACTGAGGCTGAGAGAAGGGAAATGGCTTACCCAGGGCAAGCAGGAAAAGAGGACTATGTGGGTAGCCCACCTGATTAACAGGCCTCAGAACTTCTGCTTCTCAGCTTCTCAGCTACACAGGCCCTTCTCACATTGCCCAGTGTTCTTTCCCTGGTTGTTCCGCCTTCAGAAACTGCAGGTAGTGAGCAATCCCCTCTAACACTCTCTGTGTCCTTCCTCACCACCCCCACCATGGAGACTTTTGGGAAACAACAAAAAACATGGCCAGGGGAAGGATGGGGAGCTGCCCTCTATGAGGCCCACTGCTCATCTTTCATTAGGCCCTTGGTGATTTTTTTTATAGTTCCTGGGGTGTAAGCTTCAAGTGCCACATCAGTCCTGAACTAGAAAGCAGAAGGCCTGGGTTCCAGTCTGACACTAACTTGCCTAAATGGTCTTGGCCCTGTAATGGATAGAACTTTGGACCCAGATCTCAGAAGACCTGAGTTCAAATCCAGCCTCAGACACTTACTAGCTAGGTGACCATGAGCAAGTTATTTAACCTGTCTGTCTCAGTTTCCTGTAAAATGGGAATAATGAAAACACCTACTTCAGAGGGTTGTTATAAAGATCAGACAGCGCAGTAGACGCTCAGCAAATACCTTTTTCCTTCCCAGAACAATTTGTTTAGTTTTTCCCCAGTGAAGGGGCATTCACTTTGTTTTCGGTTTTTTGCCATGTCCTGGTCCATGCTCCACCCCTATCCGAAACACCTAATCCTTATGGACACAGCTGTAAGAATGGGGATCTAATTGCTTCCCAGCATCTGTCTCCCTCCATTCCAGATCAATGCTTTAGGCTAAATGATCCTTCTTACTACCTTGCTCAATAAGCTTCCATGGCTCCCTATCATCTTACATTATAAAGTCAAAATTGAATAGAGTCATCATCATAATAACTTCTCATATTTCTATGCTACTTTAAGGTTTGCAAGCATTTTCCTTACAACGGCCCCAGAAGATAAACAAGGTAAGTACTGTTATCCTTATTTTCCACTCCAGGAAAATCAGCCTCAGTGACAGGAAGTGACTTGTCCAAGATCACAGAGCTACCAAGTGGCAGAAAAAGGATTTGAACCTAGGTCTTCTGCCTCTGAGCCCTTTCCTCTGTATGACCATGACTTTCCTTAGCCTGTCATTTAAAGTCTTCTACAATGGGATTCTGGTCTACCTTTCCAGCATTCATTTCACAGCATATACCTATGTGCATAAATATACCAACATACCTGTATACATATCTTCTACAGTACATAGAAGACCATATTTATACACATACATTAAAACAACCCCCTAAACACACCCCACAAACACACACCAATACAGAACATTACCTGTTCTACAAACTTAGAATTTGAGAGAGTTTCCCAGGGCACTAAGAAGTTAAATGACTTATCCAGGGTGTAGCAGAAGTAGGATTTGAACTCAGATCTTTCCCACCTCTGATGCTGGCTCTGTACTCACTACACCAAGTGTCTCTCTGGCCCTGTGGATACAAATACAAAAACATAAGAGCAACAGTCCCTCCCTCAAGGGGCTGCCAGTCTACTTGGGGAGGGAGAAGTAAGTAATATATATTGTCATTCTATCGCATCTGACTCTGTGTCCCCATCTGGGGTTTTCTTGGCAAAGACACTGGAGTGGTTTTCCATTTCCTCCTCTAGCTCATTGTACAGATGAGGAAATTGAGGTAAACAGAGGTTAAGCGACTTGCCCAGAGTCACACAGCTAGTGAATATCTGAGGTCAGATTTGAACTCAGGTTGTTCTGAATCCAGGCCCGGTGCTCTATCCACTGAGCCACTTAGCTGGCTAAATCATAAGTATAGGGAAGCTGTTTGTTGGTTGCCCTTCCTTCTCAGAGAGGATCAATGACATCATGAGGGTGATGTTTGACTTTCCAGTGAATTGGATTTAAGTGAGGCAGGGCTGAGTCATCAGCCTCACTCTCCCCTCCGGAGTCGCTGGAGTCCAGTGGCAAGACATAAGTCAAGATGACTGGCGATGGCCCAGCCGTATAGGGATAAGAAAACACAAGAATATATGCAAGATTAATTGTGAAATACAAAGGAATAGGGAGGATGGTAACACCTGAGGGAATCGGAGAATGCCTAGTAAGTGAGGAGTTACCTGAGCTGAGCCTCCAGGGGAGCCAGAGATTCCAAGAAGGGGAGGGGAGGAAGGTGAGGGAAGTGAAGGAGAGCCTTCAGGAAGAGGGGACAGGCTGTGCCAAAATGCAGTCGGGTGTATTGTTTTTGGAGAACTGCAAGTAGGCCAGCTTGAATGATTGGATGGAATGTAGAGTGAATGAGGGGGAGTAATGTGTAATCCTCCTGGAAAGGTAGGCTGGAGCCAGACTGTGAAAGGCTTTGGATGCCAAACAGGAGGGGTTGAATTTTATCCTAAAAGCAATAGGGACACACTGGAGCCTTTTGCACAGGGAAGCAGACTTGTGTTTTAGGAATACCAATTAGGTAGCTTTTTGGAGAAGAGATTGGAGAGGGGAGGGTCTGAGACAGGATGAGGGACTCAACTGTGTGAGTGGAGAACGGAGACAGATTTGGGAGCTGTTGAAGAAGGAAAATAGATGGGATTTGACAGTTGACTAGATCGAGGGTGTTATGAGGGAAACTGGAGAATCGAGGGTGACCCCTAGTTTATTAATCCAGGTGATCATAAGTATGGCGATGCCCCTGACAGAAATAGGGAAGTCACACACACACACACACACACACACACACACACACACACACACACACCCTGTACAGTCAGTCAATCAGTATTTATTCAGCACTTACTGTGTGCCAGGCACTGTGCTAAATGCTGGAGATGCCTCCCTCCCCCAAATCTTTGCTCTCAAGAAGCTCACAGTCTAACAGGGAAGGTAACATGCAAACAACTATGTGCAAACAAGATGGACAGGATTAATTGGGGGTAATCTCAGAGGCAAGGCACTAAGATTGAGGAGGACTGGGAAAGACTTCTCGAGAAAGATGAGGCATGAAGGAAGCCAGGGAAGCCAGGAGGCAGAGGTAAGGAGAGACAGCTTGTTTCAGGCATTGGAGGACAGCCAGTGAAAACACCTGGAGTTAAGAGATAAACTGTGAGGGACAATAAGGAGGCCAGGGTCACCAAATCTCAGTGACTTGTCAAACTCTTATCCGAAGGGGTGTTGGGAGGTGAATTGGGTGACATACCTAGGAGGAGAAACAAGAATGACCAATCAACCCCAGGAAGATCTAGGGAGAAGGAAACATCCTTTTGGCCCCCTTTTCAGGATGGGGGGAGGAGGAAGGAAAGAAGGCACTGGCCTTAGGTAAGCCACCCCCCCACCCCTGCCCTAATATGATAATAGAGGCATACATTTAGACTTGGAAGGGACCTCAGCAGCTATCTGGTTCAATGCCCTCATTTGACAAATGAGGAAATTGAGGCACAGAAAGGCAAAGTCAATTGTCTAAGATAACACAGGGACCATACTGCCTCGGTATAGACTTGAATAGCAGAGTTGAGATTGGAACCCAGGTCTTGCGAGGCCAGGCTCTTCCCACAACACATGCTTCCTCTCAATCTGTCTCCTAGGTTTTCCTTCCCACCCTCAAAGGCCCACTGGATTAGTGTGGGATCTGGGTTGGGCTCTGTGGTTGGGTTAGAATGGAAGATGGATTCTGAACTGGCTGGGAGGATGGGAAGGAAGGGTGGGAGTTGGGGGCAGAGATATTCCCTTCCCCCCACCCCCTGTCCCTTCTGCCAGTATGGGGGCCGAAGGATGTGATGGGAGTCAGGTCAATGACAACACTCCGACCCTCCAGCCTCGCAAAGCCTCGAGACTGTTGCCCTGAGTCTCCATGACTAAGGAGAGGAGTGACTGAAAGTTCCCTTGCAGCTGCAACTGGAGAAGTTGTTCTGCTTCCTCTCTTCTAGAGCCCGGGGGGGGGGGGCGGGGGGGGGGGGAGGAAGAGAAGAGAGGTGGGGGACAGCTGAGGTCAGAACAGCCCCTCCCCTCTCTGGCCAGCCTGCTCAGCCCAGGGGCTCTGGAGTTCGGCGGCTCCAGCGGGACCCAGCCAAAGGAACAAGGTACAGGCGTCGGTTGGGTACACTTGGCGTCTTGGAGAGGAACTCTGCCCGCTGCCCTCAGGCTGAGCTCTGGGCTTGCCTGGGGAACCAGAGACAGCTCCCAGAGACCCGGGGATGAAATGGTGTGGGGCGATGTTGGGGGAGGGAGTCAAGAAAAGGGGCATTAGGGAGGGAGCCAGGAAAGGGGACTGGGAAAGGGTGTCAGAGAACGAAGCCTGGGATTGCGACACTGGACTTGGGGCCCTGGGGGTGACTGGAAATTGGGTAGGTGAGAGAAGGAACCTGGAGGAGGGGCCTGGAGAAGGAAGGAAGTCTGATGGAGAGAAATGAGGGGAGGTCTGGGAAGAGTGGGGAAGAAAGGAATGTAGATTGGGGAAACAGAGAAGGCTTCTCTTCCCACAAGAGGGGGCGGGGTTGGGAAGGGAGAAGGAGGGACTATGTGCCATCCATACCCCCTCTTCCCCTGTCGGGTATTCCCCCAGGGCCCTGAGAAAGGGGAAGGTCTCTGCTTCCTAGGGAAGCCCCCCCTCCCCACAAATGACCCGCCCGCCCCCAGTCAGAGAATAGTTGGCCACCCTTATGGAAATCCTGCTTTTGACAGTGGGCTGGCGGCGGGGGGGGGGGGGGGGGGGGGGGGAACCTGTCTCCATGGCGACGAGGGCACGAGGAGGGACAAGGCCACACTGGCATTAGACCCCAAGCACATCCCCCCCCCCACTCCTAGCCTTGAGACCGGCAGTCTTTCTCTCTAGCCTTCCTTCCTCGAAGTCTGGGGTCTGGCCTATGTCCCTTGTGGGGGTAAGGGATGATGAAGACTCCCAGAGATGCCCAAAGGCAAAATGCAGGGTATCCACCTTAGAGTGTTTCGGAAGTCCTCAGAGAAAGGAGATAATAGTTATAGGAATGGAGGGAGTTCAGTGGTCAGTACTTCTATTGAGAAGCAACTGAGGTGGGGTATGGGTATCCTCCACTTTCACCTCACTCACACCAAACTCCTGCTATTCACTGGTACAAAACCTAGCCACTGAGAATCACTTCCTGCTAGAATTGGGGAAGGGTGGGAGAGGTGATCCCATTTATTGTGTCACCTTAAACTCTGGACATTATCGTAACCATTCAAGGTAGGTGGAAAAATCAATCCTTAAGCAGTCTTGGCAACCCCTCTCTCCTTAGGCAATGATGATTTCCACAGTGCCTCCATCCTTAGAATTTGGAGGTCTATCCTGATTCCCTTCATGTTGCTGGGGGCCATCCCTACTCCTTTTCCTCTCCACCACCCCCCTGCCTTCACTCTGGCTGTGCTGAGGCAGGGAATTTAGAGGAGGAACAGAAAAGTAAATGGGTGGGGGAGAAGTAGGGGAGAGCAGAATAGAGTGGAAGAAGGGGAGATGGTGGTGCTATGAGATGGAGGGACAGACAGGAGAGGGGCAAGAGTTGGGACCGAGAGGAAAGGGGGAAATTATCATCAAAAGGGAGCTGGGAGGGAGGATTATGGAGCATGGAATTTTAGAGCTAGAAGCAACCTTAGGATGTAGAATGTCAGAACTATTTAGTCTAACCCCCTTCATTTAACAGTTGAGAAAACTGAGGTTCAGAGGAAAAAAAGTGACTTCTTTTTCTTTTAAAAAAATTACTGCTATCTTCTATTTATACCTTCATTTTTGAATATACCTTTGCTCTTGGGCAGTGAGGTGGTACATTGTATGCCAAGTGCCTGGAATTAAGAAGACCTGGGTTCAAATGTGACTTCAGACACTTACTAGCTATGTGACCCTAGGCAAGTCACAACCTCTGTCTGTCTAAGTTTCTACAACTGTAAAATGGGGCTAATCATAGTACTTACCTCCCAAGGTGTTTGTGAGGATCAAACAAGATAATAATTGTAAAGCATTCAGCA